AGGTAACATTGAAGGCTTTGTTAACACACCCATGTCATTGTTACCTGTCACTGCCTGGCTCCATGGCCTGAGGTTGACTAGAAAGCTCTAACTTTCCTGTTTCTAGATATGAAGTGGGAATTTTCCTGGGGTCTTATTTTTAGGGCACTGGGGATACTCCTGAAATTGGGGAAGTCTTTCAAGGATGTTATTTGGGGGAGTCTGAGTTTCCACAAGCTCCATGCCTACATCAAAGTTTTCAGTTACAGTGAGAGAGGAGCCCCTTTGCTCCACCTAGCCCACTCTCACCTCCCTGACACTGGTCAGCCTGGGCTCACACAAGGCACCACTGGGAGTGAACAGTACAGCTGAAAAGCTTTCCCTGCCTGTGTGTTTATCTATGGCCCCTGGCACACCACTCTTTCCTTCTACACCATTTACCTTCTGACAGGTATCCACTACTTCATGTTTCCCCCAAAGGTTTCTCATAGATTTTTACTAAGCGTGACCCTCAAATTTACCACACTTCTTTAGCTCCTGGCATCTTCAGGATTTTATTTCCATTTCTGTCAGTAGCCAGCACTACCACTCGTTTCATCTTCCACTAGGTATTTGTAAGAGGAGAGAGAAGTCTTTGGTGAAACCCATCCACATAGGAGAGAATTCCCAGGAGGGAGAGAGGGATGAAAGAAAAGGCAAGCTGGTTTCCTTACAGCCTAAGGAAGTTCCAGTCCTTCCTCACCCAGAGTCACAAGAAAAGGGAAGAGAGTCAGTGCCCATGTGGGCACCAAGAATGGAAAGAGATGGAGGCCATAGCTCTTACCACTCTAAGAGCAAGGTCACAAAAGAGCAGAGCTAGAAAGGGGAAGCACTCTAGGCCTTCTTAAGTAGACATGCTTGCCAGGTGGGAGCGCACCATTCCTGTAGGCAAGGCTCCCTAGACAGAGAAATGTAGCTGGACCTTGTGCCATGCAGGAGAGATTTCTGTCTCTCTCTGCCACTTATGTCTCCTTGGAGCAAGAGTCCATAGAGAGACCACTGTCCTATATATAGGCTCATAATATCAACTCCTGGTACAGTAGTTCAATAAAAGTTCTTAAATTAATAACTTTTAGGGGCAGAAGGAAGATCCTAAGATCTTGTACTTTCTTCTCCTTTCTCCTCTTTATATTCTTCCATAGAAATTTCATCACGTACTAAAGGATCACTTGATGAGTGAGTAAATGGCCTGAATGCACATCCCCAGCTCTGCATTTTTTTCTAAGCTTAGTTCTGACTCTTCATTCAGTATACTTAATGATGCTGCTAGGATATCCCACTGCTCTCTCAACTTCCGAGGGTCTAGAACTTCCCTGAGAATTTTCCTCTATAAACCTTCCTGCCTTTTCTATTAACGTTTAGACCATTATTTTCTCTGTCACTCACATTTGAAACCTCCGGGTCATCTCTGATCCCACTTTCACTCAAAACCCCTTACTGACCCCATGTGTCCTTTCTTTTCATTTTCTTTTCAATTCAGATACATATATAGAGATAGGAATAGGTATCTACCTTTATAAAAAAAGATACATTTTGGTGGGCAATCCAAATTAATATATTTTTTAAAGATTTTATTTATTTGAGAGAGAGAGAGAGTGAGCATGAGCAGGGGGAGAGGGAGAAGCAGACTCCCCACTGAGCAAGGAGCCTGATGCGGGACTCGATCCCAGGACCCTGAGATCATGACCCGAGCTGAAGGCAGCTGCTTAAGGACTGAGCCACCCAGGCACCCCCTTATAGCAAGGAAAATTTTTTTAAATGGTTGCTGTAAAAACAATAGATCTTTTCAACTGATTTCAGCTTGACTAACCTGAGTCCCCTTGAACCACATTCCCCTCCCTAAGACATGCTGTTGGGGCCCACAGCACATCACCCCCAGAGCTGGAAGAACACTTTTCATGAGTTGACTTGGTGCTTGCTTACTAAGCATCAGTCAAAATTGTTGCTAGGAAAACTAGGTATAACGCTCTAGGGAGACTATTTGAGTTGTTTTAAAAAATTGCTTTTAATCTAGAGTGTAAAAAAACAATAAACTGAGGTGGAGGCATCATTATATTCTGATTTCCACTTGAATGGAACCAACCATGGATTGCGCCTCATGAGTGAGACTTCTGCCACAAAAAAATATGCAGAATCTCAAAAAGCTGACCCCTGTGCAAAGTAGGTTCTTTGCTCTATAGCACAAGTTTGTATGTTTATGAGGTAAATGTTTTCTGTATGTATATTTTACTTTTTATGAATCCCCACTTAAATCAGACATCTTTTTTTAAGCAACCAACTGCTATGTCAAACACATCACATACGAAGGCTTCCGCAGTCTCTTGAATCTTCTTCCAAGCCCATTGTCTGCTGTTAGCTTATTGATGCTCCTGCTAGTAACAGTTGCAGTGTAACCTTGGGGAGGCCTCCCACTGTAGCATCACCTTTAAAACACACACACACACACACACACACACACACACACACACACACATGCATTGTTCTTGCCAAGGGGATTAATAGTCCGTTTTTAACACCTGAGTTAACCACACTCACAAAGTTGGTGGAAGTCCTCAGCCAATTTTAATTTGGGGGCATTGAAAATTGTAGTGTCAGGCAGAGAAAATAGTGGTTGGTTGTAATAGCCACGAAGAAAGAAAACAGAGTTGAGTCCAGCTCTTTTCTGATGTTGCTTTAAATCACTGCTATTAATTAACTCACCGTGCAGAGATTTCTCCTTTATTACACATTCAGTCGATGAAAAAAAAAAATACCACTGTTTTCTAGCTCCATCAATCCCATGGTGTGACTTCACAATTATGTACATTGTGAGCCTGTTCAATTGTGAAGGGAATTTGATGAATGTTTTCAAATGCTTCTCTCTTTTCATGTCCATTTCCCATTTGCTGTTTAGATCATTTCTTGGTGAGCATTCTCTTTTGACATTTACTAAATGTCACCTCTAGTCCATGTCTAAAACATTGGCCTAGAGCCAGCAGGCTTACCAATTTATATTAGCCTGGTAAGAAAAATTAAATAAAATGTGAAAATGAAAGGAAAATTGCTTCAAAGAAAAATGGGGGCCAACCGTGAAAAAGCCCATAATGGCTGCTACTCACACCCATTCGCTTGCTGTGTTCACAGTTGGGTCATTTTGTGCTGTTGCCAGATTCTGAAAGGAAATCCAAAGAAAGAATTAAACATAATTCTTTCTTTTTTTTTTTTTTTAAGATTTTATTTATTT